GAGGAATAAGCGTCGACATTCCGAATAGCAGCTGGCAATCGCCGCGAAGACCACTGCAATGAGAATGTTTACTTACGTGAAGCGACGCCTGAAGCCGACAGATAATGTGCCAGTGCTGGATGGCCCAGATGGACAGGGCTTAAACTCCAACACTAAACGCGCGTTCGCGTTGGCAGTGCACTTCGCTTCTGTATTTACAAATGATCAGATATCTGCTGTGATATCGATGTGTACCGGTTTTACCTAACGCGACAGTCTGAATTGCAGCGTTGAAGAGGTATGTCACCTACTCGGCAGTCTTGACGGCACCAAACCTGCCGGAACTGATGGGCTTCCTCCACTAATTCTCAAGTCACTTTCGACCATCATCTTTCCTGTCGTGACTGACCTTTTAACAGGTCGCTGTCCGAAGGTTTGTTGTCTATTGACTGGAAAAATTCGGCGCTGAAGCCTATTCTGAAAGGCAGCGACCCCAGCAAAATAGACAACTACAGGCCAAATGTTCTGACACCTACTTTGGTAAAGATTGCTGAGAAAATGGTGAAGAAGGGATTGCTGCATTTGCTACAGTCAAAAGAGTTTCGGACGTCAGCACAGCACGGTTTTATACAAGGCCGCTCATACAATCCGAACTAGTTGTGACGAGGCGTGAGTTGTTGAAGGCAATAAGCAAAGAGAAGTCTGTAGTTGTGACATCCATCGATTTCAGTAAAGCCATCAACAATGTCAGGCATGAGGTTCTCCTTCACGAACTCAGGATGTGTGGTGTCGGTGGCTCACTGCACCGGTGGATCCGCGACATTGGTGTTGGACGAAAGAGAAGGGTACAGGTCAACGACCATCTAACAGACCGGTATCCCTCTACGAATGGTGTTCCTCAAGCACTCTGTTTGGGCCCACTCTATTCCTGATCCACATCAACGATCTACCATAGCTTCTTTGGTCGCCGCAGGCCTTGTTTGCGGTAGACATGACGATTTGGAGAGAAACTGACACTCCCGACGACTGTGGCGTACTTCATCAACACCTCAACCGCCTACCCACATGGTCTGCAGCAGTTCATCTCCCGATCAACCCAGCCAAGTCTGTATTTATGTTCCTGGGGATGGGTGCTGACGGTCGAACCTACACCCTTGACGGCCAACCGCTATATCCCACACCCTCCGTGAAGGACCTAAGTGTACTCTGGCGCTACGATTTGATGTCCGTGGACAACACGAACAGACTATATCGTAACGGCCTGCGCATGCTTTGGGCGCTCAAACGCAGCTTCGGCACGTAGTCTGAAGAGGTTGCCACTCGCCTCTTCTCTTCCATCATTACACCAGTGCTAGAGTACGGTTAGCCCACCTACTTTCCGATTACCCGAGAAGAGGCACGAAAGATCGAACAGGTCCAACACGTTGCTACCAGGCTCATCCCGGGTTTACGTGGCTTGGGGTATGAAGACCGGTGCGAGAAAATTGACTCTACACCATGTCCTACCTTCGGGTGCGAGTCGACCTCATTATGACCTACCATATTCTACATCTCGGTGACTTCCTCATGCTGAGGCCAATGCTGCACTTACGAGGGTCATGCAGCACACGCGGACACAGATACAAACTTGCCGTGCCGGATGTGCATCCTACGGAGAGTGGTAAATAGAAGGAACAGTTTACCTGAACATGCGATGGAAGCAAAATATGTGCAGCAATTCAAAACATTGTTAGATTTATATTTTTCCACTATTCGATTCAGAGAACGATTGCACACTTACGATGACATGTCACATTTGGGAGTCCTGCAATACCGTTAGTCAGATAGTTTACAAATTACATGAGAACGATAACGATATTCACGGCTGACAATATTTATAATATTTTTCACCAAATCTCGAAAGTGTTGTACAGAATTCATTTCTACTTGCTCTATACTACAGTATTCAGTATTCAGTGAGGGTTTGTTGATAAACACGATTCGTCGGGTGTCCTACACACGCACAAACTACTGATGCAACCCGTAAGACTACTCCGCCGGCTGGCGTCCTCTTGACAACTTGTGTAGAGGGAAGTAAACGATGTTAAGTTGCACCGTATGATTACCTACCAGGAGTATTCGCGCTGCGTATAGGTGCAACATGCAACGGGGTAAGATGGAGACGGGTTCAAACGGAGATGTATGGGCAAGCCAACATTGTGATCATCAATCATACTGGGAACAGTATATATATATATATATATATATATATATATATATATATATATATATGGGAGCTTGCATTTGCCAAGCCAAATGAACCAACGGCGCAAAGCATTAATGGATGGGCCACATATTTGATTCCCATGACCTGCAATCAAGATTAGAACGTGAGAGGCTCACTTTGATCATGTCCTGGTAACCTAACTTTGGTTTCCCCACATGCCGCTTCCCAATACTCAGCTGATCATATAATAGTTGTTTCGGATCCCGTCGGCCCCGGCACACTTGCCGTTTCGCAGCTGAGCAAGTGCTCTCTGCGTCTCATCCAGTGTCGGCGTGTCCGCCAGACTCGCCTTCACATCGCGCTGCTTGAGACAGTTCAATGTAGACCAGTCGATCTCTGAACGGTTGTTCAAGAGACAGTCAAAGTGTTTTTGACAGGTCTGCATTACATCTGCATTCTGTGTGCAGGTAGCGCCTGAACTACCAACGATCAGCGTCCTCAGCGGCTCCAATCTCGGTCCATACTCCGCCTTTAAGGAGTCAAAAAATTCCTTGTGTTGGCGGCGTTCGGCGTAACATTCCATCTGCTTCGCCTTCTCCATCCACCATGCATTTCTAATGCGACGGAGCTCTCGGGTCAGCCGCCATCGAAGTCTGCAAAACTGACTATTCTGCTCAAGTCACTAAGGGAATGTTACATGTGCAGCAAATGCTGCATTCTCTCTCTCTCTCTCTCACACACACACACATATCATCATCATCATCATACACGTTAGCTAGAGGTGGGGAACACCTCAGCTACTGTGCCGCAATACAGAAAAAAAGGAGAGAGAAAATAAATGCAACTGGTGCAAGCTGGCTGAGCTACCGGTAACGGATGGGCATCGTTCCGGTAAGCTACCAGCCGGCTGCTGTGCACCCAAAAAGAAAAAAATATCATGCAAGATTATATAAGGCTAAATAATGAGATCGTGGTTGGAGGGGGAGGCTAAGAGGGATGGGGTGGGACAAAGAAACTCACAGCACGAACGCTACTGAGGTCGGCTCCTAGCCATATCAGCGTGTCCAACCAAACGTGTTCATCGTCTTTCGGACCCCAACCAAGGAGCCGAGACGCTCCAACCGAGGCCATCTTCGAAGTGAGGGCCTTCATTCCTCTCGACCAAGTCATCGCTTGGCCACCCCTCCTCTTCTTCCATCCACACCCCCGGCGCGCAAACAACACACGTCGCGGGAGTCGGTGGGCTGGCATGCGTAACACGTGGCCGAGCCATCGGAGCCTGGTGCGTGAAATAACGGTGCTGAGCGGTTCATTTCCTTTTCCTGTGCCATAAACAAGGCGTCGAACACGCTCGTTGCTCACGCGGTGTTCCCACCAGATGTGAGCTAAATTACGAAGGCACCGGTGGTCGAACGTAACTAGCCTCTTCAGGTCCGCTGCTTTAAGCGGCCAGGTTTCACAACCGTACAGTAGGGTCGAACGTACTGCTGCATTGTACACTCTACCCTTCAGGGCGAGAGTGATGTCGCGCCGGCGCCATAAGTGGCGAAGGTTAGCAAAAGCGCCCCGAGCTTTTGCTATACGGTTCGTGATCTCATCTTCAATCCCACGGGCGCTGATACAACTTCCCAGGTAGTTGAATTTTTGAACGACTTCTAGCTGATCCCCACCAAGGGTCAGCGTAGGAGGCGGTCCAGACCAATCTTGGAGAAATGCTTTGCACTTCGAGGGTGCGAAGCAAAGCCCGAAGTGACAGACAGCTAGTGCTAATCTGTCCAGTGCCGCTTGGCACGTTTGTGAGCTGTCACAGATCAGGGCAATATCATCAGCATACTCTAAATCAAGAAGTTGTTCTCCTGGGAGTAGCTCCACACCTTCTAAGTCGTGTCCTGTGAACGCGATTTCCATGACTTCGTCAACAGCGAAGTTGAAGAGGAAAGGTGACAGCGGGCATCCTTGTCTCACGCCGCTGGAGATATTAAAGGGCGACGACAGCTTGCCGTAAGCCCTCACTCTGCCCGAGCTACGAGCATATAATGCAAGGATAATATTCACATATTTCTCAGGCACACCTTTCCTGAGTAGACAGTCCCAAAG